AGAGAGAGAGAGAGAGAGAGAGAGAGAGAGAGAGAGAGAGAGAGAGAGAGAGAGAGAGAGAGAGAGAGAGAGAGAGGTCTGCGCACAGCAGTAGTTGACTCTCACATACTCTGTGATATTTGTGTGCTTCCACATGATGGTCTGATGGTGGCTTGAAAACCGCAAATCTGTATGTGTATGTCCTGTCTGTATCCTGTTTTGTGTTCGTTCTTCTCTTCCTTCCACCCTCTGTTGGCAACATCTCACCATGCGCGGTTGTCCACACAACAGGCCTGCTTGTCCCGTATAATGGGCATCGCCACACCACTCCCGAGATGTGCAAAATGGAGCATGTATCTTCCGGAACAAAAAAAAACATAGAAAGATACACCCGCCAGAGGTTTTGTCTTTTCCACATTCCGTGAGTGGTGCGGCGATGCCCAATATGAGAGTGATTGGAAAAGAGGAAAACGAACTTGGGGAACTCACCGGACTCACCACAGTAAGATTTTTTGGACCATATCTCGATTTATGCGTGCCATCCTTGTGCAGGGGCCATGTTTTTTTTTTTTTTTTTTTTTTTTTTTTTTTTTTTTTTTTTGTTTAAGTGCAGGGGCCATGTTAATCTTCTATGTAACGATTTGACCCCATAGCAATAATGTCATTGATTGGCACGCATAAATCAAGGTTCCACAATTTTTCCCCCAGGTCCTTCGCCCCCGGGAAACGAGAAGGGAAGTGTTGAATCAAATCAAATTCTATTTGAAAGACTAAAACGGTACAAGGAACCTGGCTCAAAGCAGATAGCACCGCAGGCTCCTTCGGGAGGAGATGGGTGGAGAGAGGCGTACTACAGATTAAGGACATATGGGAAGAGAGAACGGGCGATTGGTTGCCAGGGCTTCGAAATATTGAAGCCCGTTATAACTTAGTCAGCTCCTGCATACCTTCCGACTGTATTTCACTGCTGCCTGAGATGGTAGAACACGGTCAGGGGGCTCGGATAATATATCCCAATAACAGACAGGAGGTCTTGAGAATTGTAGGACAGGGACAGCCACTTGGAATAAGAGTACAGGCGTGGACCTGGAAGCCTGGGTCTTGGGCCGTCCCACTGCTGAAAAGATCCGAAGATAGGATAATCCCTACGTCAGTTGGATGCATAGAGTGCCGGGTGTGGCTCAGATCCTCTGACGAAAGGGAGGAGGCCTCGCTGGTGAGGGAAGATGCGACCTACCTACAAATTGAACCTCTACTCTACGGATGGAAGAGTGTGACTGGTCCAGACATCTCTACCCCTGTGCGTACCTACAAGTCGAAGATCGCCGATCAGGTACTGAGGGCGACAGTAAAGAAACAGCCTTTAACAACTGCTGCAGATCGCCTTTCTAAAGAGCCGGGATTCTGTTTGGGAAACTTGGATCTCTTTGGGCTCAGCTTGGCTTGGTTACGACTGATTCTGGTTACACCATCAGAGACTTGGTTGGTATCTAAGGGGATGGAGATCGGAGAGCAATGTGCAACTGGGCCTGGGAAAGAGTGTCCCATGTATGGTTGTCCTGCCCCTTTTCCCTCAAGATATGGGAGTAGTGGAAGGATAAATGGAAACCAGTAGCGGGTAGCAGCTTCCCCTGGTCTCAGGAATGGATGCTGTATGGGATGATAAACCCAGCTCAGGACTTCTCCTCAGTCCTGGCTTATATGGCCCTGGCATGCAGAGGCGCCAGCATGGAAGCAGTTCGGAAGGCTCGTAATAGAGCAACTTTCAAAAAGGAGGAAACTTTGTTCCAAAAACTCACCAGTACTGCGAAGGCCTTGATTAGACAGACAATCAGGGTAGACTAGCATTCCGCCCGGACTCCGACACAAAAAAGAATCGATTTTGGTTCTCTCAGACATGGGGCAAAAGTAACAACCTGATGTCTATTTCACCAGAAGGTCACTTAATCCTTGCAGATTGGCTGGACCACGCTAAGGAAGGGAACTTAGCGCAGTTCCAAAGCTATCTATAATGATGGCCGCTCTTAGGCCTCTGTTTTTCTCAGCATTTTACTATCTCGCAGCGAGCTTGTCCTAGCTGCGTAAACTCCCTGTTACTTTTTAGTATTTGTAGTGATTTTTGTGTGCTGTGTGGAACTTTAGATAGATATTACAAGATATTCTTAGACTAGGAATAGCCTTTTTATTTAACTGGTGGGGTGGGATATACATAAATGAGATTCCTTTTGATAATATCTTGTTGCCTGATATGGTTTATATGCTGTTAGAACTGGATTGGCTGTAGTGTCGGTACTCGGATCCCTACATGGGTCCTGTAAAAAGCGAAGCTGGGTAAGGCTCCCAGAAGGATCGTGGTTCATCCGCCGTCCGGGTAGACTGTGAGGACCCGGCCTCAGTGTTTTCATTTTAATATCCGCCTTGGGCACTGGGCCCTTTTTACAGAAAAAAATAAAATAAAAAAAAATCAAGGTTCTGCTCGTGTACACCCATGAACTGTTGAAAATGCAGTCTTTGAGTTCAACTCCCATTTTCTGAACTTCGACTGTGATATCTCAAGACTGTCCCCTTTGAAGAAAATGAAAAAGAGAATAAAAGGGGGGAAAAAGAAAGAAAGAAAGAGCAAGCGGCTTTGACAAGGTTGTGGGTTCAATCCCCACTGACCGCCTGGGCTCATTTGATGAGGTCGTGGGTTCAATCACCACTGATCGGCTGGGCTCACTTGACAAGGTCGTCGGTCCCCACTGGCCAGCTGGGCATGCTTGGTGCCAACCAAATGAGATAGTTGGCTGCTCCCCCGTCGCATGCCAACCAAATGAGATAGTTGGCTGCTTCCCCGTCGGCATTGG